GGTCTGTTTTCCAGTGTAGTCCTGTTTCTCTGACTGTGTCTAACTGGATGTGCTCTCTTCATCCTCTGACATGGGAGCTGGCTCGGAGCTCGTCTGATTAACTGTCTCCTTCCCAGACAGAGCTTCTTTGAAGCTAGTTTACCGTTAGCTTTTCAAACAGAGTGCAAATATAGATCAGTGCTTCTATTTCCCTTTTCTACGTCTGCTTCCGTGGCTGGTTCATTGTAGAGCACAGCTCTGGTTCAGAGACTGACAGTAGACCCACCCTCTACTGGTTCCACAATAATTCACTGCTGAAAGGAGGATTAGGAAACATCCTCTGTTCCCTTCAGTCATCTGATAGATCAGATCCAGATGAGTAGATTTTAATTCCAGCTGTTAAAGTGGGGATCTAGCTGCCATGACTGCTCCTCCATCTTCCTCTGCCTCAGACTCTTTAAACACCTTCAGGAATCTCAGCTGAGATCCATCAGGAACAATCTATCTGAAAACTCTTTATTGTTCCTGGTTTGGATGAACAGACAGTTTTAGAGATGATCCACGTCCTCTGGAAGAACAACACCACCATTCACCACTAGAGGGCGCCCTCTGGTCACAGACAGGACAGAGGAGAGGAGAGAGGAGAGAGGACAGAGGAGAGGAGAGAGGACAGAGGAGAGGAGAGAGGAGAGGAGAGAGGACAGAGGAGAGAAGACTGCCCACCTGATGAGAGCCAGCCTGTCCTTCTCTGAGGGGTGATCATCCAGCCACTGGGAGTACCGTGCGATGGACCACTCTGCTCTCTGGAGGCAGAAGGAGAGGACAGGTGAGGAGGACAGGTGAGGACAGGTGAGGACATGTGAGGAGGACGTCTGCTGGCTCAGGGTGGGGGGAGGTGTTCAGACCTGGTGGGGGGAGCGCAGCTCTGGGGGGGCTCTGGAGAACAGGAAGTGCAGCACGGTGCTGTAGGGGATCAGGTCTCCCACAGCTGGACTGCTGGCGATCAGCTCACTGGTCTGGAACAGCAGAGGCCTGAAGAAGACAGGAACCAGACCTGAGACCAGGAACCGTCCAGAACCACCAGTTCCACCTGGACCCGACCCATCCCAGAACCTTATGGACCTCCAGAGGTCCTGAGGAGATCAGCGCACCAACCTGAAGGAGCGCAGCATCCGGTACGGCTTCCCCAGGTCCGACACCCTCCTGCACAGCGGCGCCACCGCCATCTCCATCTGACACACACACAGGTTAATGGGGAACCAGACCTCCAGAACCCGGGCCTCCAGAACCCGGGCCCCCACTCCTTACCTGGGCGAAGTCTGCGGCCAGCCTCATCTTGCCCCCCTCCCCCAGCGGCCGCAGCAGGCTGGCGTGGCGTAGGAAGAGCAGCACGGCCCTCTGGGCCACGGGCTCGGTTCTGTCGTAGACGAAGTCCGAACACTGGAAGTGGGAGAAGTAGTCGGCCATGATCCTGGAGATGAAGCCCTGCAGCTCCTTCATGTAGAGCGAGCACGGCACGGCGGGCCGCTCCGACCCGGACACGGGCCTGGAACACACACACCTGGTTCTGACCCGATCCCACAGAGCGACCATCAGGTCACCTGATGGTTCTGCTTAGTTTTAACGAGGAGGGAACTAGAACCGGACCGGACCGGGTCGCTCACCCTGAGAAGTCCTCCTGGTGCAGCGTGATGATGATGGCCTCGATGGAGTCGCTGACGGACTGCAGCAGCGGCTGGACGGCGCCGTTCATCAGGGCCTGGACCGCCTGGGTCAGAACACACAGCTGTTACCATGGGAACGGTTCTGGAAGAAAACCAGTAGAACCTTCAGCAGCAGGCGGAACTTCAGACCTCCAGAGAAGAAGTGAGTGCTTCAACGGCAGCTGGTGGAGCTCCTCCTCCCAGACCAGAACCAGAACCAGAACCAGAACCAGAACCAGAACCAGAACCAGAGCACATCTGCGAACCAGACAGAGCAGTTAGACCCCTGAGCTCAGACCGGTCTGATGCAACAGCACGTCCCTGCCACAGCTGTTACCTTGGTAACGGCCTGCTGCAGGCGGTACAGCGAGTTGACCACGGCGATGTTCCTCCTCTGGCCGTCCGTCAGCGGTCCGATCACCTGACTGGCGTCTCCCTGGGTGCAGAGCTGAGGATGGAGGAACGAGGCGGGTCAGAGCTGAAGGTTCTGGTCCGACATGCGTCCCGCTCAGAGGAACCAGGCGGCGGGTTCTGACCTGCTGGGTCCAGGGGGGTTCGGTACCTACCAGCTGCTCTGACTTGACGCAGAAGAGCTGCACGGTCTTGGCGGCGTTCCGGGCCACGGCCAGAGAGAGGTTCTGATCCACCGACGCCACGTTCAGCTCGCTGCCAACAAACACAGCCAATGAGCAGAGACGCTCCTCCTCCATCCCATAATGCCCTGCTGCTCCTCCCACCTGCTGATGGTTCTGATGATGCTGTCCAGCTCGTCGGCGGAGGGCGGGTTGCGCCCCCCCATGGGGAACACCAGGTTGATGGGGTCGAAGAGGCGGGACAGGGACTTGGAGAGGTAGGCGGCTTCGTAGGGCTGCAGGGAGTCCTTCAGGGCCTTCTCTGGACTGAACCCGGACAGAACCAAACAGAACATAGAACAAAGCTTCAGATAGAGGAAATGCTGCTGGTTGCCGGGGCAACGGCAGCAGCGAATGCGTCTTTCTGTCAGAACACGGGTCGGACCTTCCAGTAGAATCCAGAACTGACAACGTCACTGATAAAGGAAGGCCCCCAGTGTCAGACCGGGTCAGAACCCTCAGAACCCAGTTGAACTCACTTGTAGTCCTGTTTCCCTCCAGTGAACAGGTCCTGGCTCTCCGTTTCTCCAGAGCTGAGGTCCAGAGTCATGTCCGCCCCTCCTCCACTCGCCAGCGCCCCCTGCAGGCTGCTGCTGTACTGCTGCAGGCGGCGCCACAGCTCGTTGTAGAGTCGCAGCAGTTTGGGGAACTCTCCTTCAAAGGCCTGCTTGAGGAAGGAGGAGGCTGGAGGAGAACAGAGCGATCAATTATCACACCATTCAGCCACACTTAATGTTAATATTTAATCTAGACGAATGTTTCATTGATTGATTGATTGGTAAAGGAAAGCTGTTTCCACCATAAGGCTTTCTCTCTACGGTGAGCAGATCATAATGTTTATGTGTTAAATAACCAGGAGACATGATGACAGATTCTGATAGAAATTAGAATCTTAGATCAGAGAAGTTGCTTCAGATGCCATAAATATAAATACGTTTCCATCCAGCATATTCTCCCTGATTGAAGCAGAACAATTAGAACATCTAATATCAGCGTCACTGCAGAGAAACAGCTTAGAGCCACGATGTGTTTCTATGTTTAAAGTGTTTCCCACAGGATTTTAGGAAACTTGTGGGAGAGTCTCTGACCCTTGGGGGGTTTTCATCTGTGCACATTTTTAAGAGTGGTGTATCCCACTTAAAGAGGAACTTTGTTTTTTTTAACAATGGTCCCTTGATTTTACATTATTCCATCATGTTCTTCTCACTCATATGAGTTATGTGTCATTTGGAGCCGTTCTGAAAATATTCGGTTAGGTTATATCCAGTAACGTCTTCCTATGGGCAACCACTTGAAGGAACAAACTGAACTGTTTATAATTTAT